ATATTAACATTTCAAGATTTGATATTTAATAATGAAGTAAGATTTACAGCAGTTATAAGATAAGAGGGTAAGTAAAAAATATTGCTACAGAATTATCAGGACCTTTATTAAACAAAAATATCAAAAGTGAAGCTTGTGATTCACTTGACATGACATATTTTCCATGACATGGTTTCCAACCAGGTCTATCCATTTCTGAAGGGAATGTTCCCACTTCTTGAACCTTTCCCTGAAGGATTCTGTACTCTGATTTACAGGAAATCAAAATGGAGAGACATTGGTATTGGAGAGACATTGATTATGTTCTTTTAAAATTATCTATGAATTTGGAGAACAAAAAAATCAAAGAAGCAAGATTAAGGCCATAGGGCAAATTGGGGGTGATTGTCCCACAAAATTCTCATAAGACAGCCTTTGCTCCCCTTGAAGAAAGGGCAGATGCAGCATGGTTATGGGGGGAAATTCCTTAGCACACTTTCTTAATCTTTGCCTTAACAATGCAGTTTGGAATATTTTATAAACTTCATGAGGAGCTCCCTGATCATCTTATGTTCTTTGAGAAAATCTATCAAGATTATCTCTTTGGAATTTCCTCCCCCAAACAGTCACCATAATGCTCTGAGCTGACCTCTCTATCTCGAATTTAATTGGACCAGCAGATCCCTTTAGGAATCATTGTCTCAATGGGATTGATTTCAAGGCGTCCTAATGAGACTAAGACACATGTGTTATTGAGAGAACATGTCTTCAGCCATTCACTGATAAGAGACATGTTGAGGTGAGACATGTCGAATTTACAATAGTCCAGCACGTGCAGGAACTGGAACCGTGGTAGCAATATCTTCTGATGTACCCTCATAGATAGTTAAGTGTTGACAATGATATCAGTCAACAAGCATATTTAATATTTAGTGCCTGCAAGTTATTCTAATATGAGAATGCTAACATATATGACTGAAATGCATGCAGTTTTTGGTATTTTGAAACAATTTTAATTTAAATTTTACAATTCAGTAAATTCTTCTGAGCATGCCAGTTTATCATTCTTTGCCCAACTCTTGAAGTGAGCCCACAGTGTTTGCACTTTTAGCACCTTAGTTGTCTCTTGCCTCAATGCCCTGAACACTGCCACCAGCATCTACCCTTTTCTCGGGATCATTCTTCCTTTGTCTTCAAATTTTACTTAATTTATGAGCAAATCTACATTATTTTAGGATCCAAGATGGGCTAGCTGAGCTGATAATCAAGCATATGGATACCTGATAACATCCTATTATACTTAGGCAACATACCTAAGCATGAACTGGTAGGAGACAATGTCTTGCTGTAAAGATTAATATACGTCCCAGGATTTTCCGTTATGATGGCATCCCCTTAGAGGTGATATTTTAAGGCATTTAAGTTGCTCATACTTCAAGTTACTCCATCGAAGGCCACTCACGACGCACTGGTGGCCTAGCCAAGCTTTAACGGAGATGCTTGGAAAAGTCGGACTCTCCAGTCAATCCGGGTTTGTCAGAGCTGCCAGGCCCCTGAAGGGTCATGCAGCTTAGCCCACAGACAGCGGAGGAAGTGGGCGGACTAAGACCAGAACTCAACAATCTTTGTGTACAGAAATCAATGCGCTCCCCCTGCGTGTCTTGTCAGGAACTGAGGGTTGTGTTGTATCCTGGCAATGATTCCCCGTTAGCTATGGAGTTCACCACTTCCACCGTGGAGGTGACCTATCGCAGAGCGCAGCCTCTGAAACGCCAGCAGGCCGTCATTGCTTAAGCACTTCTGCTTTTCCCACTCCTACTGTAGCGTGTGCCTCCTGGGTTCGGATGTTCGATTTGAAGTTTTGGAAATTGAATAGGAGGGGCATTGACGTCCTCAGACGAGGCTGGCGGGCAATGCATTTCTCTAGTCACTTTGTGCCTCTCTTACCCGCTCTCACGCTCTCTGCAGGCAGCAGTGTGGAATTTGATTGGTGTGCTGTCTCCAGCATCCGCACGCTGAGACAGCTTGGCAAGAAGACCGTGGTGGTGAATTGCAACCCCGAAACTGTGAGCACGGACTTTGATGAATGCGACAAACTGTACTTTGAAGAGTTGTCCTTGGAGAGAATCCTAGACATCTACCATCAGGAGGTAAGGGGGCGAGGGGAAAAGACGAAGAGAAAAATATACAGGCAGAGCATACACTGTCTATAAGTATTCATGCATGTAGCTTTATATTTCTGCTGTATCCTGGCTTTTATTTTGTTGTTTTTATTCCAGCTTTATGTTTCAATTGCCTTTCGGGGAATGGACAGGCAGTGTCTTCTGGTGTTTCTTTTTGTAGCAAAGTTTAAAAAAAATAATCCCAGCCTTATATTTGGGGGGCCTGGCACAGAGTAATTAATTTTTATATGCAGCTCACTCCCCGCCCCCTGGCATCCCAACTTTACTGACAACTCTACTTGGCCCATGTGCCAGGCATTAAGTAACTAGTGCAAAACGGCTCCTCATACTTTTCTTACGGAATGATTTAATTGGTCATTTGGAGACATAATAAACAGCCTCCTTCAAGTTAACATGATATTGTTATTTAATGATGAATGGTTTCCGGAGGAGACAGGTCAGTTGTTCAAAACCAGGTGGTCATTGGTTTTCCGTTTAAGATCAAGAAGTACACTCCGCACGTCAGTTTCTTTACAGCCTTCCTTAGAGCGGCTCCTCTGTCCCTGAGTTGTGAGGTGCTGAGTCACTGTGGTTTCATATCATCCATCGGACGTTACCCTAAGTCTGAAGAAGCATTTAGATCAGTGGTTCTCAAACGGGTCGCCCCCCACAGGTCGAGAAACGCCGATTTAGATGATCTTATAATGAAACGTTTAATTACTTTCTTCTTTTACTTTTCAAATTTCCTCTGGCCTCACTATCATGCTTACCCATTGTTCACCTTTCAGCAATTTCTCTCAGATACATTTCAGTGGCTCACACATGACCAGGAACGCTACGCGCTGCTCCGAATCATCAGTTTTAGAACCCTCCCTAGTCCCCCGTCCCTGTCATTAATGGCTCACCACTCACCATCCCGGCCTCCTCCCTCCCCCCATCCCCAACCTTGGTCTAGTTGCTTTCTCTTTGGGATTGTTTATCCTGCCTATCTTTTATAGATAGACACCAAAAGAAAGAAGGTAAAAAAGACCATACAAATAATTGCAAGTGTGTTACCCTGAGCCGAGTAGAAAAGAATCTCTCTGTCAAACAGCAAGCAGGCCCTGTTATCATCCATCAGTCCAATCCCCCTTTCTTTCAGGCTTCAAATAGAGATATGTATTTTTCTAAATATCTAAATGTGTAATATGTGAATTATATATGTAAATACATAAAGAGAGGTGTATTTATATCTATCTTATATATATATGTAAATACAACAAGGAAGTAGAGAAACTTTGGGTTGCTACTTAAACCTTACCTCAGTACAAGAATGGTTTGTTCTAATAATGTGGCACCGTATGATACTTTCATGACAAGATCGTTAAAGATAAAATCTCATTTCAATAAGATAGGAAAATAGTCATCTATAACTCATCAAGGGTTTGTGAGGGAGGGTGGGCGGAGGAGGGCGGGGGAAGAAATGGGGAGCTGATATCAGGGACTCGAGTGGGAAGAGAATGCTTTGAAAATGATGATGGCAGCACGTGTGCAAATGTGCTTGAAACACTGGATGAATGTATGGATTGTGATAAGAGATGTAAGAGCCCCCAATAAAGTATTTAAAAAAAAGAAGAAGGAAATCACACGCCTGTATATATAGATAGATAGATAGATAGATAGATAGATAAAATGGGTGCATAAGCCAATGTGGTGAAGAAAGCTGATAGTTTCTGGCTTTTAAAAGATAGAGTCTTGTGAAGAGTTGTATGAGCCCTTAATAAAATGATTATTAAAAAAAAAGATAGAGTCTGAGCCCTTAAAGGCTTGAAGTTAAACAAACAGTCATCTAGCAGGGAAGCAACAAAGCCCACATGGAAGAAGCACACCAGTCTGTGTGAGCATGTGGTGTCAATGATAATCGGTATCAGAAGTTCAAAAACAAGCAATCAAATTGTCGTGGAGGAGTGTAGACATAGTGGAGACCCAACACCCACCTGTGAGATAATTGGACAGTCCCTCACATAAGAGCCACATAGAAGGCATGACATATCAGGGTGTGGTGTGGCACTGATGAAACACATAACTATCCTCTAGTTCTTTAATATTTCCTCCCCTTACTATCATGGTCTTTGTTTTACTCATTTATCTTGTTAGACCTGCATATGTTCATTTGTATAATTAAGTTCCCTTAATGCATAAAAGCCAAGATAGCTAACTCTTCAGAAACAATAATAGGAGCAATGATTCCATGAGGGCATGGGAAGGGGTGCAGGGGGGAAGGGGTTACTGAAAGCAATGATGACTGTATAATTCCACTTGAGGGGTATGAATAACAGAATTGTAGGTGAATTGATACATTGGAAGGCATAAGAGTTTAAATACTGACTCTCTACAAGATAAGTGACATGGGGAAGTCACTTGAATTTTCACTGAGAAACACAGTTTCTTTAGTTGTAAATTGGACATAGTAATGACTACCTCTTAAGAATACTGTAAAGGCTATATTAGGTAGTTCAGGATACTTACCATATATACTCAAGTATAAGCCAACCCGAATATCAGCCGAGGCACCTAATTTTACCACAAAAACTGCATTAAAAATGTTCTGGAAAACTTGGCTTATACACAAGTATATACGGTAGTTAAGTCCTCAATAACTAGTAACAGCTATTATTATTTCTCAGAAAGTCCTTAGCCTTAAAAATAGGAATTAGTTTCATAAAGCTACGCTGAAAAAATTAATGTATTTATTCATTAAAGTCCTTTTTATTCTCCTTTGAACTCCTATTTACTGTAATTGACTTCAATATTTATTCATAAATTGCTGCTTGTCCCTTAATTAAAAAAATACAATTTCAAGTGTTTACCCAAGAGAATTTTGCATGTAATTAATTGTTGAATTTGATATTATATCTCTGAAACTATAGTAAACATTGATAGTACAATAATAAGCAAATAAAAAGATTATTATAGTAAGAGAATAATTATTTTTCTTTTAAAAAAAAATTTGCAGGGTGGGGTGGCTCAAGAATAATTTTTTAAAAATCATTTTATTGGGGGCTTGTACAACTCTTATCAGAATCCACAGGTCCATCCATTGTATCAAGCATATTTGTATATTTGTTGCCCTCATCATTCTCAAAACATTTGCTTTCTACTTGAGCCCTTGGTATCAGCTCCTCATTTTCCCCTCCCTCCTGGCTCACCTCTCCTTCATGAACCCTTGCTAATTTATAAATTATTATTATTTTGTCATATCTTACATGTCCGATGTCTCCCTTCACCCACTTTTCTGTTGTCCGTTCCCCAGGAGGGAGGTTATATGTAGATCCTTGTAATTGGTTCCCCCTTTCTACCCCACCTTCCTTCCACCCTCCTGGTATCGCCACTCTCACCACTGGTCCTGAGGGGTTCATCTGTCCTGGATTCCCTGTTTCCAGTTTCTATCTGTACCAGTGTACATCTTCTGGTCTAGCCAGATATGTAAGGTAGAATTGGGATCATGATAGTGGGGGCGCAAAGAAGAAGCATTTAGGAATTAGAGGAAATTGTATGTTTCATCGTTGCTACATTGCACCCTGACTGGCTTGTCTCCTCCCCGTGACCCTTCTGTAAGGGGATGTCCAATTGCCTACAGATGGGCTTTTGGTCCCCAATCTGCACACCCCATCCTTCATAATGGTATGCTTTTTTAAGGAATAATTATTTTTAAAGATTTTTCAGAAAATGTATTTTGAACACATGTTAAAATGCTTATTAAGGATTTTGATGAGTTGTAAGAGCCCCAATAAAATGAATTAAAAAAAGTAACACAACATACCTTGTTACTTTGTAAGAAATACTAAAATTCTTAAAACATTAAAAATGCTGATTAAAAGTAGCAAAAGTATACTTATAAAAAGGAAGAACTATGAATTATTTCAGGTACTGTTTGCAATACATTCCATTACAAGGTACTTATCTAGGCAAATATATATATATATATTTTTTTTCTTCCTACAGAGACAATATTTTGTCCCTTAAAGAGTATTTCAGCAGGCTTTAAAATAATGATAAAATATGTTTGACATATGACAATCCATTCAGCATTTTGACCAAAATTCATCAGTTTGTCATCCTGGGAAACATAAAGTATGCCAAGATCCATGCATCAAATTACAACATTTTGTGATAAGAGTCTCAGTTTTGTATAGTATATTTCAAACCGAACCCACTGCCACTGATTCATTGCTGAGAAGCAATAACCCTAGAGGGCAGGGTAGAACCGCCCCTGTGAGTTTCAGAGACTGTCACTCTTTGCAGGAGTAAAAAGCCCCATCTTTCTCCCAAGGAGTGGCTGGTGGCCTTGAACTGCTGACCTTGCATATCCCAGCCTAATGCTTAACCACTGATCCACCCCGGCTTTTTTTGTATCATATATAAGACTTTTCATAGTCTCTTTTGTTTAATTTACTTAGTGAGAAGCCTGGTAGCATAACAGCTAAAGCAGTCAGATGCTAACTGAAAGGTGACCAGTTCATACTCACCAGCTGCCCCACATGAGACCAATGTGGCAGTATATTTCTTAAAAGATTTACAATCTTTGAAACCCTATGGGGCAGTTCTACTCTGTCTTCTAAGATTGCTGTGTGTCAGAATCAACGTGACAGCAGTGGGTCGAGGAATCTACATAAAGAACTTATGACATGGCTTAGTATTAGTAATACTACTTAGTATTACTACATGGCTAAGGTTACAGACAAGAAAATAGAATCTCAGAGGGAGAGTCACACAGGGAACCAAGTTAGGAAGGGAATTCTATTTCCAAATGCTAATTCTCAGCACCCCCACTGACTTGTCCATAGTATTCAAACCATGTTTTTATGGTAACCCAAAATAGGCGATTCAATTTTGAATCAGGGATTACTATATTCATCAAACATCAAAATTTGGGCTAAATATTTGGGAGCTGCTTATCAAACAAATGGGAAGATACTAGAAAGTAAGATCAGTTTGGGAGTACCTTACAGAAGTGTTGAGGTAGCAGTCAAAGGTGGAGGCTTGGGATTACATGATCTCAATGGAAGGGGAGGTATAAACTGTAATGATTAGAGTTTAGATAGGAGAGAGGAAAGAAGCAGAAGTTAAGGATGGTGTTCAGCATAGAATCCTGGGGGCACGATGGTAAACGCAGGGCTGCTAACAGGCTCTGTAGGAGCAAGACCCACCAGTCTCCTTCCCAGGAAAACCCTTTGGGGCAGTTCTATTCCATTAACACATGGGTTTTCCATGAGCCAACAGCCTCTGTGGTGCTCAACAACAGCAGACATGGGAATTTGCTAATGGGAAGAGACACAGTTAGGACACTGAGTAGAGTGATCTTCTGGGTGATAAGACTGAGTAGTCCTTATTTTCCAGAGGTCTGTCTTTCAACGTTAGCATCTAACTCACATTCTTGAGGCAATGAGAGCCTTTGGAGAACTGAGTCAGGGGTGATTTGGTGAAGAAATTTGTAGGTTTGATTCATCTAAATGTGAAGTTGAGTGTGGGGCAGAAGAAGACAGGGAATCGAGTGTGGGAAGAAGAAATTGGTCTACATTGAGGGGATTTCTGCCATATTCCAACAATTAAATTATTATCATGAAAATTGCATGATAAAATATTCATTGGATCTATGGCCTTGTTCTAAGTACCTTCTCTGCAAGAGTCATATGTGGTCTCTGTGTGTGGTTTCAAGCCTTGCGTACCTTTCGTACCTGGCTGGAAAGTCCGAGCGGTGGCATCTATGTGGCATCATTCAGTGCTCTCCATTGAAGAGAGAGATGAGAGTATCAGTGTCATGACCAAAAGGAGGGAGATTGAGTCAGTAGTCGCACAGTGACCCAGCCCAGGAGAAGTTGCGCTGACAGCTGATGTTGTGGATGTCTTTGTAGGCCTGTGGTGGTTGCATCATATCTGTTGGGGGCCAGATTCCAAACAACCTGGCCGTCCCTCTGTACAAGAATGGAGTCAAGATCATGGGCACGAGCCCTCTACAGATTGACAGGGCTGAAGACCGCTCCATGTTCTCTGCTGTCTTGGATGAGCTGAAGGTGGCTCAGGCCCCATGGAAAGCTGTCAATACGTTGGTAAGGAGAGCAACACACGTCTGTTTTTAATATTCTCTTTTGAAGAGTTGTAACCTGAATGTTAACTGCTGAGATGTTAACTACAGGGCAACTGGAATGCATTATACTTAGTGAGTTCACTTTAAAGCTGCTGTGTTTTCATGATTGTAGTTAAATGCTGGTTATAAATTGATAGGAGTATCCTCATTAAGATTCAGACAAGGAAAAGAAGTTCAAACTATTTTTGAACTAGGTTTGATATTTAGAATTAGAAACGAGGAATTTTATGTATTTCAATGTCCAATTTACATTTTAATGGTGTCTTTGGAGAGAAAGAATAAAGAGTGGGTTACCGCTTGATCTGAAGATTCTGTTCTGCATTCTGATGGCATGTTCTTAGCTAGTCACACGTTTTGTTGTTTCTCTTCATTAGAACGAGGCGCTGGAATTTGCAAACTCCGTGGGCTACCCCTGCTTGTTGAGGCCTTCATATGTTTTGAGGTAACATTTTGTTCTCCAAAACACTGATTTAAAAATCCGATGACAGGGAACTGTATGTGGTATGCGAATAACAGCAGGCTATGGTATATAATGATTTGTAAGTCCATCAGACAGTCCCCAGCTAGTCACAGTCAGATGGAGGATCTTCCTTCATGGTAAGGCTTTCCCATCAGGAGATGACAGGATGAAGATACTGCAGTCCAACATCTGGAAACAGGCCTCAGGGCATCTGTTTGCCAAACAGCAAGATCGTTGTACATCAGAGAACGGGACAATGTGTAACACAACCTGAGCTATCCCTCCCTGGTATCTGTTTTCTGATACTCAGCACAGCAGCACCTGCTAAGGGTGCTTCTGGCTTGAAATTCTGAGCGTATGGGTCCTTTTTGAAAATAGACACATGAAAATGGGGAGGGATGTGGGCAAACCAACATTACCAAACTCACTGCCATAGAGTCAATGCTGAATCATAGCGACCCTATAGAAAAGGCTAGAACTGCCCTTGTGGGTTTCTGAGACTGTTGCTCTTTCCAGGGAGTAGAAAGCCTCCTCCTTCTCCTTAGTGACTAGGTGTTCCAAACTGCTGCCTTTGCAGTGAGCAGCCCTCCATGTAACCCCTGTGACACCAGGCTCCCTTTGAGGTCATATTTGGAAACAAACAAATTATAATGGCGAGGACATGGTCAGTGAGGGTCTTTTAGATTAAACTTTGAAACCAAGTTGTCTCATCAAAGGCGAAGTTGTGAATTATCACTTATTCTCCTTAGACATAGCTGCATGTAAAGAACAACTTCAATGATCAGGGGATAATAAGTGTAATGCAATTAACTGTGCACAATTTGTAAGTGTAAATGGAATCTGAGCTAGATAATGCAATATTTCAAAATGAAGTAGATAACTTTTTTATTTATGGCATTTTATGTACACTACAGTCTAATTCAACTACTTTGAGATATGCGTGCCTTGTTTAAGTGTACAATGTACTGATTTAAACGATGCACACATTTAAGGGAGGGCTGCAGAACTCAGGTTTGCTTTTCAACCCCCTGGCTCATACACTGAACTGTCAGCCCTACTGGCCTTCCTCTCGTGAAAAGATGAAGCAATTGAACAACCTTTATGCAGAAGTAGAAAGTAAACTCCTTCTTCCCCATCTCCTCCCCTCTTCTTTAATTGCTCCTTTTTTCTTGCCCTCCCATCTCACGGTGAAACTGTGAATTCCGAGTAAATCGATTTGAGATATCATTCTCTATCAGGTACTTAGAAGGAAGGACACATTGAGTACATTTCAGTTAGCAACTACACATTACATTTATAAATGTTCCTAAGGGGAAAAAACCCAAAACCAAAACATGATTTGGCAACCCAGTTGGGTTGGAAGACTGACCCGATTCGATGGTGGTTTGAGATCAATGCTAGGTAGTAAGGAATTCTGAGGAAATAGCATTAGCGAAATACGGTCCTGGACCGGAACCTGTTACGATGTAAGAATGACCTGAAATAGTTGATTCTTGATTACCACTGTTGATCACTGGGAAAGGGATCACCTTAGAGGGTCCTGGACTGAATGGGAGAACAATGTGGAACAAAACTCAAAATCACAAAGAAGACCGGACTTTGCACAGAGACAAAGAAGACCCCTGACACGACGGCTCTTGGTCATCCTCTGAGCCGGAACTGAACTCCTCGCCCAGGCTCAGCTTTCAGCCAAACAGCACACAGGTCTAGAAGGTCAACAATAACACCAGGAAGGCGCAGATTGCTGAGAGCAATCGACCATCTGAAATTAAAAATGAAAAGTGGGGTGGTGGCAGCGGGTAGCACTTGCACAGGGACAACCCTGTCAACGGCAGGAAGGGGCAAAAGGGTAGGGAAGACTCAGTGGGAAGCCCAGCCAGGGAATGAGGCGCTGTCATCTCATGATGACTGCCACCTGCGACAGGAAACAAAGGCGTCTGAATTGTTGAAGAGAAAACTGATAGGTTGGGTAAGCCTTCACCCACACCACAATAGAAAGTGAAAATGGAGAGCTCCTTCAAAAAAGAAAGAAAGCAGGAAAGGCCAGGAACTAATAGAGGTAAAAGAATAAGTTAGCCGGAGCAAACCTGGGGGAAATACACTGTCTACAACTACCAGGATTCTCTGGGGCTGTTACCCAAACCTAATTCCCACCTTCTCCCCCCACCTCCAGAAGCCTTTTACTCAGGCTGATTGTCCTGGTGGGTAAACAGAGTCAGGTCTCAATGTAGAAGAAGGCATTGTCTTCTTCAGCAGGACTGAACCTGGAGGTGACCTGCAATCAGTCACGTCTAGTAGGTTTTTTCTTTGAAGCCTAAATGAAACTGACCGGTTTGCTTTTTTTCCTTCTTCCCCCGCAGTGGGTCTGCCATGAATGTGGTGTTCACCGAGGACGAGATGAAGAAATTCCTAGAGGAGGCCACTCGAGTCTCGCAGGTAGTGTCCAATGTCCTCCCTGAGACTTCCACCTCTTCTGGTGATTGCCACTCTGTTGGGTGCCGGCTTTCTTCTCCAGCGATGGAATAATTTGTTAGGACAGATTTCCTTTTCTTCATCCACCTACTAGTCTCCTACACAGGGAAACGAGAAAGCTCAAAAGCATTCAGTTTTGTTGAGAAACGTAGGGCTATTGGAAGAAGGTCAACAATAACAAAAGAGTCAGATGCCTTCAAATCCCTTTCTCTGCCCATGAAGTAGGTGCTGCCCCAATTAATCCTCAGATTCCCAGCCTTGGGGGCTGCCCAAGCAGACTCGTCATTAGCAAGGGAAAGCTCTCCTGATTGTTAATTCTCACACCTGGGGACTTTGCAGGGTTAATATGAAGTCCCCTCGCCTCACTCAGCTATTGATTTTGCGGGGTACATTTCATCTGCGAGTTAATAAAAATGTTTATAATTTTGTGGCGACTTCACCACCTTCCTCCACTGCCTCCAGCTTTTCTTTTTCTCCTCTGGCGTTACCTCGGTGTGATCCACTTAAGACTTACCCAGTGGGGTTATTGATCTGCAGACCATGCACTGCAGAGGATAAAAGAAAGGCTTTTCTTTTAAAAGCTTCCAAAAGCTAGTGGAGGGTGGGGGTCGGGGGTTGGGCATGTATGGAGGAACAAGTCCCAGAGAAGAGTTTGAAGTTAGCGGGCTGGAGCTGGGGGCAGGGGGTCGGCTGAAGCATGGCACCAGAGCCATTTCAAAGAGGACATAAGAGTGCGGCTGTTTCTACACCCCTGAAGCCAGATCCCCTTTCTGTGGATATTATGAGCAGGGAAGAGTGTGTAGAAAGGTAGAGTGAGAAAAGGCAGAGTATTGAAAAAAGAAAAGCAAGCGAGTTTTGGATTTACTCTCGTCTGGAAGTCAGATAACTGAAGAGGAATCATGACTGCATTCTTAGAGAGGCACCGGCCAGGTTCTCCTCTCTGTCATTCCCAGCCAGCAGGTCTGAGCAGCCAACTCTAGACCCACCTGGTATCATTGAAGTGACGCGTCAGGTGTCCTCTCCTCTCTGCACGGGACCCTGAACCTTGTAGGGGCTCAACTCAGCAAATAGCTTTAAGAATCCCCCCCGCTTTTGCTCCTTGCCTATGGGTAGCACACGCACGGCAGCACACTTTTGTAAGAGGATGGTCCATTGGAATATTTTCTGGCTCAAGGCCTCCCACATCCAACTGTGGCACAGTGTGGGCTATCCATGGGAGCCTCAAAAAGTGGATGGAAAAATCTAATTGAACGGCAATGGAAACGATCCAAGATACTTTCCTAGTGTCACCTGAAATAAAATGAAGCTGCAGGAAAACCTGCCCCCATTAATCACTACTTAAGTAGTCGTTCATATTGAAAAGGAGAAAGGGCTCTGAGTCGAATTCAACCTCACGACACTATTGGACAAAATGAAACCACCCCACAGAGTTTCCAAAACTTCGAACCTTTAGGGATTACAGATGCTGTAGGGAGCTGCTGGCAGGTGCTCACTACCAATCTTTCCCTTAGCAGCCAATCTGAGTCATCTGACCACCAGAGCACGCCCTGGTCACATCTAGCATCTGCTATGTGAGGATCATAGGAAGCCTTATGGTGCTGTCAGGCAAGCATTGGGTTGCTACCCACAAAGTCAGCTGTTCCAACCCACCCTCCTCTCTGTTGAAGGAAGATGAGGCTATCTGCTCTCTTCAAGATTTAAAGCCGTACGATCCCTATGCAGGGCCACTGTGAGTCAGAAACAACTCATTGGCAGTGGGTTTGAGGTTTATATGAGTGTGAGAGCAGCCCTTTCAGTATCGAGGGTTATACTTTATTTGTGGGCACACCCAGTGCCCATCTGCGGTGATAACTGGCACTGCCTCACCCTGCTCTCTTCGCGGTATACTGGGAGCCTTTCAGTGAGCAAGCAGGAGCCCTGATGGCGGGGCGGTTATGCCTTGGGCTGCTAACCCCAAAGTCAGCCCCCCTAACAAAACCAGAGAGAGGGATTGATTTTGGAAGTGGAGAAGAAAACCCATACTCTTTCCAAAGCCTAATCCCTCTCCTTTCGAAGTCGCCTGGAGGCCTACACTTGAGATTTCAAAATTCATGTTCAGCCCACTCAACACTCACAGTTGGAAAATAATGCCTGCCTCACTGTCAACAGAAAACAAAACCAAAACTTGTTTGTGTATAAAAGAGACTGGGTCATTGTTTTACATAGTGTGATTCGCAGGAAGGCTTGTGCTTAGATTGCTATTGTATTTATGTAAATGCATAACTTAGTTGACACCCTAGGAGCCATTTCAGCTAAAATTTCATCCTTTCTATTTTTTTGTACTGACAGGAACACCCAGTGGTGCTGACAAAATTTATTGAGGGCGCCCGGGAAGTAGAGATGGATGCTGTTGGCAAAGATGGAAGGGTAAGTGCTTTATCTCCTTCATATCCACTCTACCTTCCCATGAATTTATTTTTCTTAGTAATGTGGAAACATAACACGGGTTAGAAGTCACGATTTCCTTAAACCAGGCTCTACCCATACTAGAGAAGCCTAGCTATACACACATAGTTTACTGGCAAGTTTGTTGATGTGTCATGGGGACCATATTTCCTGTGTTTCATACTATCAGAATTCGCCTTTGATGATATTGAAAATTAATTTTCATCCTGTACGCATAATTCTTTTTGAATAGATTTTTCTACCTCATTTTCTTTTGTCTGTTTTCCCTTTTATGTTTCAATGACTATTAGAAAAACATCTAATGCTTTTCTTTCTGAAGTTCCTAATTGAATCTCTGGTTTTTCTTCGGTCTTGATTTCCCACCCTCCCCACCCCTTTTTTATTGGGTTAATAAAGGCAACAGCAAACAGTAGGGTAGATGAGGATACTAAAATTGGCTTTGCACATCACATCTTTTATTGTTAATACAATGAATACCTTTAACTTCAGGCAGGAATGAAGATGTGAAGAATGTTTTTCTTCAGTTTGCTAATGCTGTTAATAAGGCATGTATTTGTGATTTATCTCGAAATAATGAAAGTTATGTTTTAGGAGGTCCTTGTTGTTTTATCTGCCTTAAAGAAAAATAAAAATGTTAGCCTTCATCTCCTACTTTGTAAGAACTTCAAAGCATGACTGAAAGTGTCAAAATTTTTTTTTCTGGTTTTCCAGATGAGCAGTTCAAAGTGGCCCCCCCTTTTAATGTAATGGTGTCTTATTACCACAGAATCATATCATTCTTGAGTTGAAGCCTCTCTAGAGATTATGCAGTACAACCCTCTCTCCCACTACCCCAATAGAAAGTGCAGGAATATCTGTTTAAAGAGAGCAAAAAGAGTTATAAGATCCTGCATTATAGTTTGGGACATCTCAGTTGTTCTTGATCTTCATTCCCTGAAGCACCCATCCCCTGTCTTTCAGGCCTTCAGGGGGCAGAGCACACATACACCCCCTCTCCCTTCTCACTAGTTTCAGGGTTTGAAGAGGGAGCTCTAACCGAAGAATACGGGCAGGTGGATTCTGACGTGGCACATGGGAGACTGTCCTGGAGACTTCCTGTCTTCCCAGGCCTTGTGCAAAGTGAAATTGGTCTGCTGGCCTGCCCTTGTCCAAAGCTTCTCTCAGACACCAGCCACTACTTATCCTTCGGGACTTCCTCTTGTGGAGAGCTGCCATATTAGTCACATAGTTTTGAAGCCATCACACTCAGAAATGGAGATAGTACGCCAAGCATGTTTGGATTTGTCCAGAATTCAGTGGGATAGTCGCCTCCCTCTTTCTGGACACTATAGCCAATCTACCTCTTCAAAAAGAAAAAAAAAAGAGCTCTTACTATATGCCCAGTGTCTTGTCAGGAATTCTATAGGTTCCTTCTCATTCTTCTTCTTTTTAAAAAAATTTTATTGGGTACTTATCACAATCCATACATCCATCCATGTGTCAAGCACATTTATACATATGTTGCCACCATCATATTCAAAACATTTTCTTTCTACTTGAGCCCTTGGTATCATCTTATTACCCCCCCATCCCATGAACCCTTGATAATTTATTGAAATTTTGTCATGTGTAACGCTGACCAGTGTCTCCCTTCACCCACTCTTCTGTTGTACAGCCCCCTGGGAGGGGGTTATATGTAGATCATTATGATCGGTTCCCTCTTTCTCCCCCCACCTTCCCCTTCCCCTCTTGGCATCACTCCTGAGGGCTTTATCTGTCCTGGATTCCCTGTGTTACGAGTGCTTATCTGTACCCATGTAATGCTCTTGTTTAGCTGGATTTGTAAGGTAGAATTGGGGTCATGATAGTGGGGAGTGGGGGGAGGAAGCATTAAAGAACCAGAGGAAGTTCTGTTTCATCGGTGCTACACTGCACCCTGCCTGGCTCCTCTCTACCTCCTGACCCTTCTGTAAGGGGATGTCCAATGTCTACAGATGGGCTTTGGGTCTCCACTCCATGCTCCCCCTCATTCACATTGATAGGATTGTTTTTGTTCTGGGTCTTTGATGCCTGATACTTGATCCCATCAACAGTCCCTTCTCAATCTTACAAGTATTCTGTGCGATGAGTTCTGTGGCTCATTTACACCTGCTTGAAAGTAAAGCTAGTGTGTGAAGCTTCGTGTGCAGTTCTCAGTGCTCTAGAGGGTGGCTGGTTGGCACTGTGTGCAGCTCTTCCTAATGCTCTCATCAAAGAGCTAGATGGGAACTGCTCAACGCAGGGGGCATATGTCAGAACCAAAGGGGGGCAATCCAGCAGCTTCATGGAAGCCAGTGTTTAACAACTCTTCCCCACATCTTCTTGTGAACAGGTCATCTCTCACGCCATCTCTGAGCATGTGGAAGATGCAGGCGTCCACTCAGGAGATGCTACTCTGATGCTGCCCACCCAAACCGTCAGCCAAGGAGCCATTGAAAAGGTCATCATTTGGAAGAAGAAAAACCAATTTTGGGGAAAACATGCACGCACTTAAGACAATACAACCCCAAACCAAACCAGACAGACTAAAAGCTAGGTAGCTCTGTGGGACCTGCTCTAAGTGAAAGTCAAGGATGGAGGTGCTTCCTTGGCCTGAGTCAGCTGTGTACTTTAAAGAAACAATTTCCTCCACTCCCCTTTCAAGCCTGTTTGGTGTGTCCTTTTGCAGTATTCTGAAACCTCTGTGCAGTAGAGCCACCTGAGGAGTTTGCTACCAGACAAGTTCCTACCAGACACAATTCCCAGTGTCTGATTCCATGGTTCTGGAGTTGAGGATGCCTAAAATTTTAATTTTTACCAAGCCTCAGGTAAAGGTGCTGCTGCTGACCTGGTACCACAGTTTGAGTACTACAGTTCCCAGTGGCTTGAATGCTTGAGACCCACTTCAAGGCAAGACACATATAAAAGATGCTTCTCAGGGGGTTGGGGACTATTCTGCTCCAGTCACGTGGGGCCTTTTGGAAACCATTCTTTACGGTCTGTATTAGTCTAGGTACTTTGGAGAAACAAATCCACAGCAACTCGTATAAGAGAGAGTTTTATGCAAAGAAAATGTGCATCACGAAAACATCCCAACCCAATGCTGCCCAAGCCCACAAGTCCAACATTAACCCATACCCAACACCAGTCCACAAAGTCCTCCACCTCACAAAACAGAGGCAATAATGCCGACTGCAGGAGGAAAGCTGAGTCAGTGAACGTGTAAGTATCTCAGCACTGGCAGGGGTCTCCACACGGCTGCTCCAGCACCCGGGGCTGCATCGGGATAGATCCATGCGGCTTCTCCTTGGGGATGTCTTGTAGGAAGTCAATCTTGCAAGCTGAAGCAGGGAGCTGCTAAGGCAGCTGCACCGATGCAACCATCACAAAACAAGAGACCTGAGAACTAGAAAGGCGAGGCTTCACCACCCATTTATCCCTCCACCTTTCAACCAGCACCACATGTGATTATCGGCCAGGCTGGCACAATTAACTAACTCACGGTCCATCTCCACACTTATACCTGTACCTTAAGCAGCACTTTCTGATTGGTCTTTTTTGATCTCTCTTTGAAAACCACTGCTTCAAAAGACCTGCCCAGGAAGAAGGGAGTCTTCTGCAATCCTCAGCATGCAATGCTAGGGGGTGTCTCCTGAGAGACTCCAGTCACTCAGAGGAGGCTCGCTTAGTCCTTCTGTCGGCCAAGTCTGGCTGGCCGTCACCCTGCCACCAGAATCGAGGCAGACTTGTCCATCTGGCTGACGATGGATGGAATGGATTCGGAAGGTCTTGTTTTGCTCTGTAACATGCAGGTAGCAGGCTGCTTTGCAATGCCAGCAGCATCGAAGGACAATACCCTTAGATTTCAAAAGTGTCAGAATAAATGACCTGCAGAACTCAGGCTTTTCCCAACCTCTCAGAGCCCAAGGTGCCACCGACTCCATTTCCTTCTATAACCAATTAAGTTAGTCAGCCACTCTGGTCAGAGTCAGGCAGGAGGAGCTCTGGCTTCTTTTGATGAGGGGCCCCTCTGGGCACAGCGCCTCTGTCTCTGCTGAATCTGGGGATTTCTCTCTGTGGCGCGGACAGCTTCCCTACAGGGAAGCATGGATTCCTGCCCCCCCTTTGTGCAGTCCAGGGCAGCAGAGAAGCCACATAAAAGAAATCTCTCTGGCTTCTGTGCCTTACCAGGTAACGGCAAGGCCTGCACCTCTCAGCAGGTACGTCATTAGAATGATGGAGGTTCCTACTGTAGTGTCTGGGGCTGAAGCGTCTAGGCAGAAAGGCAACTAATTCAGCCCTAAAAGTAAAACCTGATAATATCATTGCAGCATGATAGGGGCATTTGGCTGTGAGATAATCATACAAAATGATTGGTTCTTCCCCGTGCTATCTTATGATTATTTAGTACAGATTCTTATTTTGCCTAAAGGAAGCTAAGAATGGGGTAGAGAAAAATCCTGACTGGAGATGCAGCTCTCAGTCAAGGGACATTAGGAAAACCCCAAATGTAAGATGTATTTCTCTCTTGTTCCAGGTGAAGGACGCCACCCGGAAGATTGCCAAGGCTTTTGCCATCTCTGGACCCTTCAATGTTCAATTTCTCGTAAAAGGAAATGATGTCTTGGTGAGCAATGCCAAAGTGTTGGGGCGGACACAGCTGCTGTGTTGTTAGGTCCCTCCGGTAATCTCCCTCTCTTTGAACCAGAAGAAACGCAGTGGAGCCCCAGCAGCTGTTGCCTAGCGTAGAATGCTTGCCTTGTTGGAAGGCCCAGGCTCCCGATGCTGCTGACATGTCAGTCACAGCTTGTAAAACACTCTGGGGCACTGGAAAGATCGCTTCATGCCGTCTCTAACACATATATGGGGAGAGTGAATACTATCAAGTCATACAAACACGTAGAACAGTAAACAATTACAAGCACTAGAGTTTTGCCCGGTGCTTTTCCCAGTGAATAGGGCTGTTTGGGGATGATAGCGTATGCCAAAAAACTCACGCTGAACGAACGAGGCTACGTCTAATTAATTTAGCCCCTGCATTTCACCATTAAGATATCAATACTGATTCAGTTCCTTCTATGCAAAATCCTTTGGTGCTGCAAAGAGACGTCAGGAACGGTGCCCACTCTCCAAGATCTGGAGGTTTGATGAGCGGCGAGAGCGAGATGACCCTGTAGATGACCATAACGTAAAGCTGAGTGTAGCAGCTACGATAAGCTCACACACGTAAGATAGTATTGGAGTCATAGGACAGGAAGAGAATATGCTCTGGTGTGCGTGTGCGTGTGTGTACAGTGTCAGTGCCTAGTTTGGTGCGGTTCGCCAGAGATTTCGAGGACTTTCTTCCTGTGATCTGGGCCTTAAGGAAAGGCTGATCTTCTGATGAGTAGAAAGGGTAGATAGGATATCATTTTCAAACCTCCATATGTCTTCGTGAGTTACATTATTTTTTTGAGGAAAAGAATGGAATGTTACCTTGGAAAGAAATGAATGAGATCACTAAGCCTAAAGAAGTTGGATGAGGCAACTTCTTTCTTATGACTGTATCAAAATCAAGGAGTAGAGTTCAATATGAGGGACACTGAAAATCACATTTGTTGCTGTTGGTAGGTGCCCTCATGTCAGTTCTGCTTCAAAACAGCCCTACGTACAACAGAAAATAAACACTGCCACCACCCTCACAACTGCTGCCATGTTTGAGCCCATTGTCGTAACGACTGTGTTAATCTATCTCATTGGGACTTTGTAGTAGGGTTGTGGAATTATTTGAGTTCTGAATGAAAAGAAATTCACCACCTGTGTGTGGGAATGGATTTGGGAAGAGAAGATGGATGAAAGTCAATGTTTATAGATACAGAAAGGACACCAGTTAGAAAAAATTCTAATTAGTAGGCAAGAGTGGGGTGCGAATGAGCCAAATGAGGGTTGCCACCAGTGGACCCCCAGTTGCAAACCAAGTCGTGGCGAGAGCATTAGTGGGCTCTATCACTGACCTCGCCATCCTCTTTCATCTTCCGGCCGCTGCGCCTCTCCAGGTGATAGAGTGCAACTTGAGAGCGTCTCGGTCCTTCCCCTTCGTATCCAAGACACTCGGCGTCGACTTCATTGATGTGGCCACCAAGGTGATGATTGGAGAAAATATCGATGAGAAACCACTTCCAACACTGGATCATCCCATAATTCCTGCTGACTACGTTGCAATTAAGGTAACATTTAAAAAAAAACCCAAAAACCACTTATTTTTATGAGTCCCAGGAAAATGAAAGAAAAATGTTGCCAGACAATGGAACCTCAGTACGTTGTGAGCCTTTGCGAAGGTGCTTAGACTCTCTGGTGGTGTGGCAGTTAGGCATGGTTGGGCTGCAAAGAACAAGGTCAGCAGCTATCGCACTGCCAGCAGCTCTGCAGAAATATGAGTTAATCTCAGACGCCCCCCCACTCCCCCCGGCCCCCCAGAGGCAGTTTTACTCTGTTCTGCAGGCTCTCTGTGAGTCTGGGTGGACTGGCGGGCCGTGAGTTTGGAGAGATTTTGGACTGTGGTGCTGGACTGCAGATTTATAGTGATTCCTTTCAAGAATGCCCTGTGCTTGCACTCCAGTCAAATGGGACCTCGGTCAATTTGAAATAACTAACAATTCACTCACTCACTCACTGCTATCGAGCTGATCAATGCCAACTTATACCAACCCAGTACAATAAAATATTAACAAATTAATATATTTATAATATTTAACAAAGTACTCAAGTCTCTTATGCACAAAATATGAATGATCCTCCATTTCAATTGTTAAAGGTAAAGTAATCTAGAAGTGTCTACTTTCAAAATTGGCTTGCAAAGTTAATTATGAACTACGCTTACTCAGGTGATCCACGATGGGGCGGTTTAGTCTGTGAGGCCTACTTTGTCAGAACACCACTTGAATAACGCCACTCTCGCCTTGTGCCACGTCTCCGAGAATGCCTGACTCTCATAAAAGTGCCCGCTTTTGAATTCTTATTACCTTGCTCAGTTCCTCTTTCCCATGTGGAAGGACACGGGGTCTGCACTAGACGAGTGATCATGACACTGGCACTTCCCAGTGGGCGTTTGAGGGTCATGGAACGGATGGCACCTTTAGGGATAATGACCAGGAATTTTTCTAATTTGTTCACGAATCTTTAATCCTATTTTTTAAATTTCTGGAATAATAAAGCCGTGTGTTCCTCTAACTGCCTCAGTATGCCTGCAGACATAACATTTATCATTATGACCTTTAACTACTCCCCTGGTCAGACATGAAGATAAATGAGATATTATATAAGTATATTCCCATGTCTTAGATGAAGGACGCATGAAGTATTATCATGCATTTGTGTGACATTTATGTATCCTGGATGACTTCAAAAGGTTCCTCTTGCTATATATACCAGTGACCTCAACTATAATTGTGTTGCAGCTGAGACCCTGACCTCTGACTTTTATGGCAGAAGATATAAGTGGAAGCTATAAAAAAAATATTCATTCATCTTGTTTCCGTTAATACCTTAGGACATTTCAGACTTTAGGATGCATTGGGAGGCTATGCCACATATTTTGTTGTTGGCGTGGTGGTGATCACATTCATTCATGGATCCTACATCAAAAACCTTGGCCTGATGAAGCTTTAAAGGGAAATCTATGTAGGAGCTTTTGTTTATTTGAGACTAGCCAGTAGTGGGCCCTGAAAAATATTTTTCCACTTGAAATATGAATTTGAGTTCATGCTTCTATGACTTCATGCATAGAAGTATATTTTTAATTTCTTTTTATATATTTGCATACGTAGTATACATACACCTATTGAATATATATATGTAAAACTATTTCTGACTAAAATCAATGTTGATGGATAGAAATGAATTTTAGGAAATGCGCTGTACTTTTCAGCACTAGTTGTCACTGTCTATAAATTCTGATTTTTTTTTTCAAATTACTTTTTAGAAAAATCCTAAGGTAACTTTAGTAAGGTAAATGGATATAAACAAAAGGGGCTGAAGGAAAAATTGGGGACAAGAACCTCTGATAACGTGGTGAAGATGAGCTCATGAAATCACAATTTCCATGATAATGTGGACGAGGGCCAGCATCCAATCTGGATGAGTCTAGACTAGATCCCTGGGAAGACACAGAAGCCTAGCAGAAGTCCCGAGGGAACTGCACTGGGAGGAGAAGTGCAAGGGGAGTTCCCTGTGTTCCCGTTCACAGGAGAGCTCTTGCACAGGTGCTTCCCGGCAGCATGTCTGCCACAGGTCTTTAAGAGATGTCAGCCATAGTTTCATGTCTCAGAAGTCAGCTTACAGGCAGCCATTGCCTGCCAGGTGGATCGTTGCAAGTTCAAAGGATTAGAACAAGAAGAGGAATGTGAAAAAGCCTTCCATGAAAAAATCATGCGTTTGAACTCTGTGATTTGGACGACCAATGGCCAGTGGACTTCGTTTGACATCACTCCAGCAGGTGTATGTGGAGGCCGGATTAGGTACCCTGGCCCAGACTGGTCACAGAGGCACTCTGTAGAGAAATAATTTGTGACTATTTAACTCAAAGTTTTGGCTAAGAACTCAAGAAATTATTGGAACAACATTTTAAAGGGTGTTTTTTTTTTAAGTCAGATGCTTGAACCAAAGAATTTTTAAAACTTGTTTCCTACTACCTAACTGAATCCTGTGAGAGATGCTTCATTAAATATTTTTATCCACTCATATTCCTTTTATAGTGTTCTCTCGTGATTTTTTCTCCCTGCTATTTCTGACAGGCTCCAATGTTTTCCTGGCCCCGGCTGAGGGATGCTGATCCCATTCTACGGTGTGAGATGGCGTCTACTGGAGAGGTAACTGGTCAATGACCCATGAAGTCTTTCATTACATCCCCCATAACATATATGGAATTAAGGCCTGCATGTAACACAATAAGTAGTAAAGTCAGTAGTGAGAGGAATATAAGCCTCTTGTGCCATCAGAGGCAATCTCAAAGGTTTTAGGAATTTTGAACTAAAAACAAATATGAGATATATTCATATTTCAACATATGAATATAATGCATGTGTTCTTAATTCACTTATGTATTACACCTTGACAAAATATTTCTCTAAACATATAAATACATATTTCTGGGTCTCTGTTTTATAAATTAGGATTCTCCAGTCTTCTTATATCAACCTCCTTTCCCTACCCTTTGCTGTCATAAGATTAGATTATTGGAGTTTTACTAGTGGTATGTAGAATAATCACAATAGAAAGATCATTAATCTCTATATGGGGGAATCTTCAGACACAGAAATAATAACCACTTTCACAGCAACTTCATCCTCTGGGGATTACTTAAAAATAGTAACAGGGTTGGCCACTGGAGGCCCTTCTGCACTAGTTTTGCTGTTCTGACAGCTGAAACAAAAGTATCGAAGCCCAGTGATTCTCACTCATAGCGACCTGTTAGGACAGAATAGAGCGGCTCCATGGAGTTTCTGAGGCTGTAATCCTTAGGGAAGCGGACTGCCACATCGTTCTCCCTAGAGCAGCTGGGGAGTTCGAACTGCCGACCTTTTAGTGAGCAACAGAGGACTTCACTGTTGTCAGTGGGAGGTTTCTTTAAGAATGTGACATGTGTGTCTTGTACAGAGCTGTCAGATTCTGGGGAGGTCTCGGCATGTCAGTGTCAGGACATTTGATGACTCACCTAGCCCTTGGCAGACTTGCTAGACACAGCCTTCAGATTCCCATCAGTGCACATTGGAGTGGCAACATCCAACTGGGAGGCATCAGTGTTTCCTCTTGGTATTCAAGAAAGCCTGAAAAGGGGAAAATATTTAATTGAAACAAATGCATGTTTCCTTTGGTTGCCTGGTTACTAGCAAGCTCTGTGATGGGAATTCAAGTGAGACAGGACTGTGAGCAGTAAGGAATAGATGGCCTAACTCTTTATGTTTGGACCGATAATCTCCTCCTCTAAGCCTTTTGATACTCCTTTTCATAAAATCTGAGGGGTTCAACAGCTTCATGGGAAAATAAGATGAAAAAATCATAGGGTTTCCCCCAGATGTTTTGAAGCCCCCTCGTGGGTAGGGAATCTAAGGGTGCCACTGTTCCTGTCTGCACCAGGCTCCCCTGGGTCCTCGCTGACCACAATTACAAGGCTGAGTTCAGAGCAGAGAAAAAAATCTGCAGTTTTCTCCATCGTTTTTATTTTTATATCATTTTATTGGGGGTTCGTACAACTCTTATCACAATCCATCCATCCATCCATTATGTCAAGTACATTTGTACATATGTTGCCATCAACATTTCCAAAACATTTTCTTTCTACTTGAGCCCTTGGTATCAGCTTCTCATTTTCCCCCTCCCTCCCTCATGGACCCTTGATAATGTATAAATTATTATTTTTTTGTGTCTTACACTGATTGATGTCTCACTTCACCCACTTTCCTGTTGTCCGTCCGCCTGGGAGGGGGTTAAAGGTAGATCATTGTGATCCGTTCCCCCTTGCTCCTCCTGCCTTGTTTTGAGTTCAAAGGCATGTTCTGCTTTCAGATGTTCACTGTTGAAATGTGAAAATAGAAAAGATTTAGAAATCCCTCTCTGTCTTTGTTGCATTTGTTTCTAAAATATAAAGAAAATGAGTTATTCTTCAGCTAATAGAAAAGTCATCTTTCAAAGTGTTATAAAGTATGATGTTTTCAGGTCTGTTTCATAACAGATCAGAATAATGATTCCACCTTAATGAAATCCTGATTGTGCCTCAAAGAGTCATTCTCAGCGCCCAAATGGCTTGCCCTGGTCTGAAATTAGCTTTTAAATCCTGATCTAAGAAACGGCTGTTGTATTTTCCTAGCGATAAGGTGGTGACGATTGTCTTACTTTTTAAGGGAACATCAGACTACTCTCTTTCTCCCCCATAGAAAACTAAAGAGACCTTTCATGTGTTGTACTTGTGTTGATGGTGGCGTCTCCCAGAGTCTCTCAGTAGAATTTGTGTCCCGGTAACTTAGGTGGACAGCACTTTGTTAGTTGGCCAGTAGTTGACTAATTTAAATGCTTAGTGTGGAGCGAAAAGCAGCCTGTGCTGGTGGTTGACTGAAGGTCATGATTATGAGAACTTTATTTTCATAGTAGGAGAGTTATTTGCTTAATGCTCAATTGTACACCCATGTTATTGACAGTCTTGTTGGGCCTGTCCCTGTACCGTGACGAGGTCCGTGGCGGGATCTATGGCCATCATGCTCAACTAGAACCCATTGCTTCTACACTTATGGAGGCTGTTTGCCTTACATCATAACACAATTGCCCACAGTGAAGTTCTGGGTACCCTATCATTATGTGCTGTATACCCTATTATTAAATGGCTTGCTTTCCCGCCCCCAATACGGCTATGCTATTCACCACTAGTAACAGGGTCTTTCAGTTCATTTTATGAAAAATGATTTTTTAAAAGTTCCTTTGAGGTTTTCATGGAGTTATTGAATTTCTTAAAGTGTTTCTTATAAGCTGAATGAAATGACCCCTAAGTGATTGATCAGCAACTATACATTCCTGCCTCTGATCTGTGTGCTCGTGCACTGCTGCATACATACATTCATGACATGTACGGTTATGTAAACCTTAAGTCACATTAACATTGAGTAACTCACTGCATTACCAATCAGAAGCTCTGATTGCATCCAAAAAACTCACAGTAGAATCCAGTTATGTTGCTCTGTGGAGTACTGTTAGATAGAAAGAGTGGCTTATTCATTCATTACGCTTAATTAAAAACAGAAGAGACTTCTGAACTGCCCTGGCCAGACTTTTAACCCCTGGATTCAGATGAAAAGGTTTTTGGGCAACTTTGATCAACTCTAGGAAAAAGTCGGTGGAAAAAGTGCTTTCTGTTGATATTTGTTTGGGGCGAGGAAGGATAGTTACTCGTATTGCCTTATTTTAGCCCCTTTTACTTTCTTCCGCAACAGGTGGCGTGCTTTGGTGAAGGGATTCATACAGCTTTCCTGAAGGCAATGCTTTCCACAGGGTTTAAGATCCCCCAGAAAGGCATCCTGATTGGAATCCAGGTAAGTGGGGGTTTGGAGGGTATGGGGCTACGGGTGCACACTATGTTTGGCTGAGGTGAGGGATAATAATCATGGTATAGAAGGGGGCATGTTTTTTAGTTTTCATTTTAAATCCACTAAAAATGGGAACTTATGGAAAGAATGGACATTTCTTCTGTATCCCCGGATTCTTGCTGTATTCAGTTGGAGCACGTAATAACAAAAATCAGAGACAGACAGAAAGGGCAAATCTCCAGTGCACCTCATTTCGTTTGGAATTCAGGCTGCCTAAGAAGACTCCCTTCCATTCTTTGGTTTGACTTTTGTACACATTTCCTGTAGAAGCTCTTCCTTAGACTTTGAACATAAGCTTTCGATAAGATTTGGTCTTACTTCTCCTCTCCCCCTAGACTTTCCCCGTTGCCTGCCCTTCCATATTTATTGCATAGCCCACGGTGTCTCTCTGGGCCCATCACTTCTAAGTCTTTGACCTCAGGATGTGATGCTTCCAGCAATACGCTTGCCACCTTTCTCCGGTGACTCAGACTCAGTTTCTCCAAAGCCGAAGTCTTCTATGTCTCCTCTTGACCTCTGCCTCTTTTTATTCCTTAATTTGTTCTTTCAAATGTTGGATTGTTCTAAATGCCCAGCATTCAAAATTGGAGAAGACATAATATTATTTTAGGAATCTTCTCAACCTGGTACTCTGTGACTAACTGAAAGTTCCTGAAGGGCAGGGATATAATGGGTATGAGAAAGTCAGTATATTCCATGGTGTATGAGGTTCTTGAAATTTAATTATTTGGTAAATCTTCCAGAACAAATCCGGGTGAGATAAATAGATAGCTTTGTTAAATGAAAAGAACATGATTAGTTTATTGTTACAAGTTGAATATAAGTCATAAAGCAAAATGGTAGCCAGGACACTTCTTTTATTCCTTGGGATAATGAGTGTAAGAATGTACAACTTTCTGTTTATAAATTTCCTGAAAAAATTCTAGGTGCTTCCCAACTGGTCATTCACTCTCATGTGCGACGAGCCATTCTTGGATCCTATCAAAGCAATGGATGGTCTAAAATAACACCCCTGCTGTGCTTTTAATAAGCTCCAACCCCGCATGGTTACATAAAAATCCATAAAAATATAATTAAAACAGTACCAGGTATCCTCAAGCCCGTGGGTGAGTATTATAGATACTGTCTCATTCGGGTGTCTTACTATCCGCTAACGAGGCCCCGGAGGCCGGACGACTGTGACTTTGGAGACGTTTCTGCAGAGAGGAAGTTGGCGTTTCCCTTCCAAAGGTGCCAGAAGGACGACGGTGCACAGCGCACGGGCTAACAAGATGACTTGCAATTGCCACACGTAATGGCAGTTTAGAGACAGATCACATCATAGGAGAGACTCATCACGCTGTAAATGAGTTTTAACTACGATTAAGTCCCAAGTATGAGAGTATTTTTCCAACTTCAGTTATAGCTTACAGTTTCATGGGAGACCTGAGGGCACTCAAAGGAGACCATGCCCTTGGTCCTCATCCCGCACCTAATCAGAATAGTGCTAGCATTTTGAAATACCAGTTTAAGAAGGCAGTGAGGTATAAAATTGTGCCTTGTTTGGTTCCATGCTTCAGGGGAATGTGAAGCAAAAATTAATTTGATCCCAATGAAGTATTTGTGTGATTTTGGCATCAGTGTACAGAATTTTACCTGGTAGTAAAAAAAAAAAAAAAAAAAGTTAGTGTTATCTTAAACTCTAAAGAGCAGCGTGGCTCAGCCACTGAAGTTCCACCTATGGATGTATCCTCTTTTACCACAAATCAGTGCTCCACCTGCTACATGAGTGATTGTAAGGGATCACTTCCCTGTGCACGGGCATACGAGGTTGGGGGTATTTAAAATGATAATTAAATGATTGAAAATTTATAGAAACATTTTACAAAATGATATTTAACATAAGTAAAGAAATATCTTTTTACTTTTGGCAAAATGGATGACTAGGACTGTAAAACTCCAAACACTGATGATTTTTTAAATGACTTTATATGGAAGGCAAAGAATGCTTGCTATCACCAAGAGACCAGCTGTAGTCTTTTCACTACACTAGGAAGGGCTTTCATTTTTTGTGCCTATTCTTGTATGTTGAACGGACAAATGGAACAAAATGTGCTCTAGCTGCAGAGCTCATCCCTCCAAGACTCAACAGGTATCATCTTGGACTAGACCACATATGATCCCATTGCACAGTTCAGAATACATTATACTTTCAAAACTGATGTTACCTCACATGGGCCCACTTGGACGGAATTCACAGAAAGTCACTTGAATATACAATGCCAGAACAGAAAGGGACATGAAATTGTCCTGGTGGTGCAGAGAGTTAAGGATTAGGCTATTAACTGAAAGGCCAGTGGTCCAAACCCATCAAGCCCTCTGCTCCAAAGGAGAAACCTTGGGCACCCTCCAGAGCAGGTTCTACTCTGTTTGATAGGAATGCTTTCAAGCCTTAAGGAGTCTTGGTGCAGTGGTTAAGCATTGGGTTGCCAAATGAAAGAGCAGCAGTTCAAATTCACCAGTTCCTCCACTGGAGAAGGACGTGACCATCTGCCTCCACAAAGATTACAACTGTGCAAGCCCCTGTGGCTGTTCTACTCCGTTACAGGGTCTCCGAGTTGAAATAGACTCTGAGCAATGGTTTTGGGTTTGGGGGTATGAACTTCACTCACTGAAGAGCATCGAGAGCCAGCATTGTTGTAGTTTATTTGCTTTGTTAATCTTTTGTGTATAACTTGAGAGGACGGTCAATATGTATCCTGTATAATTAACACGATGAGGTCTTCTTTTTTTTATTTTTTTATCTCTTCACCTGAGACAGTGCCTGGTATGAGTTGAAGGATTTAATGAAGCTATCTTGCCTCATTAATTTTGCTTAGAAAGTTGAATGAGAAAATTTGGGGGAAAAGAGAAAAGTGGGGAATATAGGTAAATTAGACTCTATGCCAGGAGGAATTTCCCCCTAATTGTTTTAAAACATTAAACTTTGAATAGGAATCTTTAACTAGCATCTATCTTTGGGAGAAAGAGGAGGCTGTCTACTCCCATAAAGAGTTACAGTCTCAGAAACCCACAGGGACAGTTCTTCCTTGTCCTGTAGACCCTATGGGTCACTGAGTCAGAATCGACTCAGTGGCAGTAAGTTTGGCTTGGGCTTGGTGTAGGTCAGTTCTTAATATTCAGTAGTAGTGGTGGAAGCATGTGCTGCATCTTACATTCTTCCCCACTCTATTTCTTCTCCTTTCCCACTGCATCCCTTTATAAATGTAGGCTCTTGTCTGATTCACTCCCAAGTTAATGCCCAGGGCCAAATAACATGGAAATTTTGAACTATTCTTTTCATCCACCTAATAAGTAAGACTTAGAAAAAAAATAAGACTTTTAATTTCGTAAAAGGATCCTTGTCAAGTACCACACGTCCTGTGACTCTCCAAAGAGACGTTCTGTATACAGGGCGTCAGTCCTAATAAAAGACAGGCGTAATACAGTGTGTGTGGCAACAAAATCATCTTTGATTTCTTGGGCAGAATTTCCAGCCACCTTTTATCCCATCAGATTTATTTTCAGTTGTCATGTGTAAGCAATTCGCCTTCTTTAGTTTTCGGAACAGCCCTTAACAATGAAGACTTTTCTCTAGCGTATAGCAAGAGCTCTTGACGTTCTGCCCCGCCCCCCTCCCCCCTCCCCCATCTGATTGGGCTATTCAGTGATGTTTGTGGCGTGGTGAGCACCAGTCTGATTTCGGCGCATTAGTATGGCTCAGAAACACGAAGAAAGCATTTTCTTTGAAAAGACAGCTCCAAGTGACATGAGTAACCTTTTATCGTCAAAACAGCATCATTAGGAAGAGCCCCAGGATTGTCAATGCGCATGTCCCTGAAGACTCCACAGGCTCCGCACAGCTTTAACTTGGCATGCTTTCTAGCAGCCAGAAGTTGTACTGATGTGTAAATGATAATTGGGGAGAATATATGTTTTCCCTTTTGAAAGGGCTTTGTTCCTTATAAACATTTCCCAGAAAATGAATCCACTTGTACTTTTCACCTTTGGTAGCGAATGATTTCTTACACAGGTATTTTCAATCGGCTTTAAAGTCTGGGGCTACTCAGATGCAAGCTGACAGCTGTAATTTCGCTCTGTAAAGAGGCTGTTTTATGTGTCAAAAGTGTTCAATACCTGGTTTATAGACGTTTGGAAGGTGGCTATGAAAGCCAATGCCACAGACCAGAAGGCAGAGCTGTGCCTTGGCTGGCAACTGCCAATACTGTCGTGTCGGATATTTATCTTTTCCACTTGGGGGACAGCACTGAAACAGCTCCATAATGAGGTTCTGACTGGTGTCTACGAGTCTTGGGGAAATTGCTGACTGATTTTTCTTTACAATAACAAAGGAAAAAAAGTTCCATCTTAGTTCCAACAACATTTTCTTGTGACCCTGGCCAAGGTTAAACATCTGGACGTCAAATTGCAAACTGAGTGGAGTGTGGCCCTATTGTCTTCTTTCCCCCCTATTTCTACAGTTGAGTGTCCTTCAGGATCACCAGGAAGGTTTATTAAAACACAGAATCCTTAGCCCCACGCCCATACTTCTTCCTTTAGCAGATTGCCCTGGGGCCTCCAAATATGTATGTTTCTAAGTGATGCTGCTGTTGTTCCAGGGACTACTTTTTGAGGACCATACTTGTAAAAATGGGATTATCCTAGAGACCTGATTAAAAGTTTATGTGATGGCCACCTATTATCAATAACTTTTTTGGTTGCTAGAGGGCAGTTTAAGAGATGGAGAAATTAGTTCAATAAGTGGGTTAATGTATCAGTTAATTAATAACTTTCCTGGATATCTTCTTTATGTTGAGAATTCTACTCGGGTGCTTACTAAAGCCAGGTCTACATTTACCAGAACATCACATGAGTTTGTCTATGTAAGGGGCATTTAGCAAAATGTGAATAGGCCATGCATATTTTCTAGATTTCCAGAAACTTAAAGCACAAAGAAAACCCACTATGCTGCTTAAATCAACTTCTTCCTTACCAGGAACGAGCAACTATGAGCATACGATTGTTTTATTCCTCTGCTGGCCCAGTCTTCAAGAAATGGCCATCTGCTTCATTAAGTCATCCTAACCTTACTAAGAATTCAGCACTCAGTTCTCTTATTTATCACTAGTTGTGGCTTTTTTTGCAGCTAGGACATTTTCTTCTTTCTTATTTTGTTTCTTTTCCCTTTTTCTGTTGAGCCCTACATGGGAGTGGGCAGTACCCTGTGGTCCTGGTTGCAATTAATGTTCCAAAAGAGCAGCCCCCTCAGTCTTCCTTAGCTGAGGCCCATCGAGTTGCATGTATCTTTTCTAGAGTTTCCTCTCAGAAAGCTGCAGTTCTGGCGGTGAGAGGGTCAGCATCTGAGAGAATTTTATATTTGAACATAGTCTTCGCGGTCCTTTCCAAGGATTTAGATCGGTTCTCAAAAGGGCTCTGTAGATAAATATTAGGGAGCTTTGTGGGATGAACATTATCGCAATTGTACGAAGGTCTTGATAAGTTTTGTTATCACAATGGTTAGCTTTGAGATCTGAAAGAAGAAATCCATACCCTCCCCTCCCCAATCACTGGTGTAATCTATAAATAGAAAGATTATTCAACATTTACAAAAGTAATTAAATTAAGCCATATATTTATAAATTTTTACAAGGAAAAATAGCAATAATGTTACCATTTAAAGAAGAATGGATATGTTTTTTAACTGTGAGTATGGATGTATATTCTTTTAGTTCAGTTATTCAAATATTGAAATATTTGACATCAATCAGATCAAAGTCAGGGTTTGATTTTAGGGTGGGCCAGTTAGGTTGATTTCCTCTCTGTCCTGACCACTTTCTTATAAATAATGTCTCTTGGCTACAGGAGGTGTGTTCAAAACTGGGGAATTATATAGAAATGGGCAAGAGTTTAGGGCGGGCGAGACTTGCAAACCAAGTGGGCCCAGCTGGAGCCCTCCAAAGTTAACATCAATGGGCTATACGAAAATATCTGAACAACAAGATGGGATATTAGGAAAATCGGGCCCCTAATAAAATGAATACATGTGAGTAGAGATGTGGTCTCTGTTATGTGACCTTCAGTAGAGGAACCAAGCTTAGAAAGTCAGATTCAGAGCTAAGGATTTAGTCTCTGAGACACTGAAAAACAGTTGCTTTAATGATAATCACAGTAAATATTTATTGTGAACCATTAATGGGCCAGGTCGCTAGGAGTCGAAATCACCTCAATGGCAGTGAGTAAGTGAGCAAGGGAGCTAAGCCCCTTGTTCTACTGACACTTATGTAGTGTTTACTCATAAATTAGCTCTTTGAATATGCTGAGTATTCAACACTTAACAGATGAGGAAACTGTCTCACCGAGTGAGTGGAGCGAAACGCATTGCACAAGGCCATGTAATTTAATACATTTAGAGCCAGAAGAAGTGGACACTATTAGGATCTGCACTGCTGGTTTCGAAGGGAAGAAAATAAGACAGCAGGGCATTGCCCTTTTTAAGCACACAAACCGATGACGGAGTTTTAAAGGCAGCAGTTGAAATACAGCTCAATGTCTTTCAGAGCCCATTCTAACAAATGTGAACACTTTATCCCTTTAGGATAAATGGAAAATTGAGTTCTGAATAATTAACTTATCACAGGGACTTGCATCTACCCTACTAGGCGTGGGGCCTCAGGGAGGACAGAGTTAGAACTCAGAAATTAAGCAGATTGAAGAGAAGGCGACCTCCTAACCAAGTGCCTACAGTCTCTTGGACGAGGAACAGGCGAGGTGGGGAATTCGAGGTGTGTCTATCGGCAGGGACTGTGTCCCTGGCTGCTATCGAGTACATTGTGACTCCGGGTGACTCCATGTGTCAGGCAGAGACGAATTCAACTAAATAGCGAGTTGAAGGTATTGGGGGGCCAGGTGAAAAAGAGCACTTTAACGTTAGAGGTTAAGGTCATGTGGATGGAAAAGCTAAGAGTTCATTGCTATTCGAAGAGGTCAACACTTGCCATTGACTTGTAAAGCAACCAACAGCATATGGCATTGCCTGTCATCACGGCACGGGCAAACACCGTATTGCACGTGACTGAAGGAAGAGCATGGTATGTAGAGAGTAAATTTTGTTAAATTGCTTTTTCAGCAATCATTCCGTCCACGGTTCCTTGGGGTGGCTGAGCAGTTGCACAATGAAGGCTTCAAGGTACGTGTTAGTTCTCTGTCCCCAAGTTGTTTATCCGCATTGAGATTGGCTCCAAAGCAACACAAAATAACAAACGAAACACAAAGCTAAACAAACAAAAGACATGTTAAGAAAAGAAAAAGCTCTGATTATGTCCTTTCACTTGAATGGTATAATGAACTCTTTGAACTCCAAGCTGAAAGAGAATAAAATCATTAGAAAGACGAGTTTTAAGTTTTAACAAACTGTGACAGCCAGCCCATCCTGTGCGGTGTGCTGCGGGCGGCGTGTTTTAGAGAACTTTATTGTCACGAGTATTAAAGTTTCTGGAACAACAACAACAAAAGTTTTAACAAACTACCACAAACTCAGAAGCTGCTTGTGGAAACAGAGAGTTTATTTAAGCAGAATTGGGATGAAGTTCCTATGCTCTTCCATATCTATATTTTTTCCTTTTTCCTTTTCCTGTTTCCATATGAGGTCATAGTTTCCAGCTGATACTGTGACAGGCAAGACATCTTTGCAGTGAATCTCTCCACATAAAGCCTGGTTCAGTCAAAGAAAATGATTCCTGAGACTCAGGGTGGGCCCGTGGCCCTGGGGCTTTGTTGGCCTGATAACAGTGAATTCTCAGCCATAAATAATTCAATATTTTCCTTCGCTACAAATGCAGTTACAATCAAGGATTTTTTCCTCACTGAAAAGATTTTGAAAATATTTAAAGTACTCTTGCCTCTGGATTCTGAGCCCAAATCTCTCCTCCTGGTACCCTTTTAATCTGAATATTTACTAGTTTCCCTCACTTTATGGCTAACTGGCATACATGTCTCAGCAGTCTGCTTTATCACAGAGTAACTGATCCCCATCTTCTCCTGTTTTAAATGCAGCTCTTTGCCACAGAAGCCACTTCAGACTGGCTCAATGCCAACAACGTCCCTGCCACCCCTGTGGCTTGGCCATCGCAGGAAGGACAGAACCCCAGCCTCTCTTCCATCCGAAAGTAAGAACTCAGTTGACTGTTTTCTGAGATAAGAAATGGGTAGAGGGTTACCTTTGGGAAGGAATACAGTAGGAATAATTCACCTTAGGGCAAATCTTTGTCTTTTCAGTCAAGCAATGTAAAATGAATACGGTAGATTAGAGTGAAATTTCCTGCTCACGCACTTGGCCATCATTATAGCGCTGGCGTGTACCTGGTGCTGTAGGAATGCTTTTAAGTGAGCGCATGCTCTTCGGTGGACAGCAGGGTTTCAATGAGGACCCAGGGACAGAAGACCCTGCTTCATATTTCAGATTAAACACATCGCAGATACATGTTTATCAAGAAGTCTTATCAGCAGCTCACTGAGGTGGTGCCTCAGTCAATTTATCGAAGACGTGATACATGCTGTCCATAGAGTGACAACCCCCCCAAATTAACAAACAAACAACAACAACAACAAAAACCCATGCCATCAGGACAATTCCAACTCACAGCAACTATAGAGGACAGAGTGGAGCTATGGCCTGTGTTTCTGAGACGAGAAGTCTGTACGACACCGATCATCTCATCTCTGCTGGGAGCTTTAAACTTCCGGCCCCACGGGCAGCCCTTGGCTAACTCCCAGCAGGGCTTCTTGGAGATTATAGGGGTGCTGTGATGAGTCCGTTCACTGGATTTCCTCATTCACCAAGTTGACATGTATTTGGTATCATATGAGGACAAACGCAGCATGACCCTCTTTCTTCTACGGAGAGGTTAGTTGGAGGGTTTGAACCACTGACCTGGTAGGCTGAGTGCTCAACCATTGTGCCACCAGGGCTCCTGTTGTCTTCATCCACAGTCCTGACTTACAGTGACCCTGCAGGACCGACAAGATCTCCTCAACCACTTATATGACTATAATTCTCTGCAGAGACAAACACCCTCCTCTCAGTCCCCCAGAGCAGCTGAGGGGCTGGAGGCCCCAGTCTTGTGGTTTGCAGCCTACCAGGCAACCACAGCCCCTCCGGGACTCCTTTTAATTATGCCCTAGACATAGGTGTGTTCTAATTAGGACAGGGTAATCAGTTGTTCCTGTTATACCCTATCTCCTAGATAGCTAACTTATCCCCAACGCTATGCGTATGCTATTTGTTAGGGTTCCTAAGAAACCAACTTGTAAATTCATCATCAAATGAATAATAGGATGGCATTGTGCTCACACATTAGCAGGCTCTCAAAATTATTATAAGCCCAGGGCTTTTCAAACAGGTAAGGGGCACTATTTCATGATTTCCAACACTTAAAAATCTCCAAGTGTGTGCAGCAGGCCAGCATAACAAATGGTCTAATTCAAAATCAGGTGACTCCTATTATCATACTACCTGCTGAGAGGCTAGCAGTGGGATGAAGGTAGGGGGCCTAGGGGTGGGCGGAATGACCTTCAAAACTGGAAGAATCATCTCCTGGTGAGGTAAGCAAAATCCCATCAAATGACCAATTCTTTCTAGGGATAGGTGGTATTTTAAAAAAGAAAACAAATATTTCCATTCTCTTAGACTTTCCCCTGAATGCTTCCAAGAACACAATAAAAAATATGATAATCCCCAAATGAGTATAATTTGGTAATCTAGTTAGGAATAGAAGCAAGCAGGTGGCAATCAAGTCAGTACGGTCTTGATTTAATGGCTAAGAGGGTGATTTATGGTAGCAGTTTAAAAATTAATTATAAAAATAGAGGCAGTGTGCATGAAATCATGTTGGTGTGTCATGTTGGGGTTTACACTGAATAATAAACATCTGAAACTTGAAAAAAAATAGAGAGACAGTCAACCACAAGTCTTTGTTTATTTTGCTTATTCCTCCAGGCTGATTAGAGATGGAAGCATTGACCTGGTCATTAACCTCCCCAATAACAATACCAAGTTTGTCCATGATAATTACGTGATTCGGCGGACAGCTGTTGACAGTGGAATTGCTCTCCTCACTAATTTCCAGGTGTGTTAAGTGTTTATTTTCCTAAGATGGATAACTCCATGGGATTTTTATCTCTGTCTCTCTCTTAAGGGTATCTATACATCCATATCCCGTTCTTTCTCCTCCTCTTCACAAGCTGAAGTGGGAGGAGCGTTTCAAAGAATCTAAAGTAATGGTACTGACATCAAGGAGGCCATTGATGATGAAACATTTGAAATCGTCAGAATTCACTGATAGCCTTCCACACGGATTGTTATCTTTCAAATCTGCCAAGTGATACATGTCACGGTGTGCCATAGACTGGAGACACCGTTTGTATCAAAATGAGAGCCACACAGAAGTGCAACAGGTTGACATAATCAAAGGTCCTGATGCCATGCAAGCAACATGTCCAAGTCACAAGACATGGTTGCGTGAAGGTTGTTCCCTGCGTTTGTACATACCCCACCCTCACTGCATTTATCACAAGGACTGTTCTTGGAGACTCATTCACTTTCTGCCCGTCACAATCCCCCCGTCAGTTTTCATCCTTCTTGGAGGGGGTGGTGTGGTAAGTTTTGAGACACAGAAACTTTAAAAGAAAAGATGTATTCATTCTGGGAAGAGGAGCCCTAACTTAGCACTCCCATCAGGACTCCTGTTAGTTTCACGTTTCCATCACGAGGGTCGCTCAGGTCGTTATCATTTTTGTTTTCAGGTGACCAAACTTTTTGCTGAAGCTGTGCAGAAATCGCGCACCGTCGACTCCAAGAGTCTGTTTCACTACAGGCAGTACAGCGCTGGGAAGGCAGCGTAGCCCAGTGTCCTCGTCTGCCCCGGGCTTAAATCTGCCTCCATAGGTTGATCTCAAGAAAGAGATCTCCGGCTTCCTTTCCAGAGATGAATTTCGATAGGAAACTTTGTTTGCGTGTACGCTCTTATGCCTTGATAGCCTGTACCTTTCACAATTAAATTGTTGTCTGTCACTCTTTCCGAACCTCTCACTCAGAGTCCTTCCTAGGTGACTTGTGGGTCATGAGAATGCCTCCATTTTTGATAGACCAAGTTCATCTACACACTTTGCAGCTAACATTTTATGGTGCTGATTTGATGATCGACCTGGAAGAAATTGCTGCCTTGTCTTTCAAACTCTATGCAGTCAGTCATGGGTTACGTACACGATCTGCCCTACCATAGATCTTTAAGGCAAATTTGTAGGTAAGTCAGAACAGGTGCATATATTTTTTGTTTTTTGTTTTTTTAAATCAGAAACAACTCAGTAGACCAATTAGTGCGAGAAAGTGCTCAAAGTCTTCACAACAGTTTTAAAGCGGCACATGCAGCAAGTGAAGGGTGATTGTGATCCAGCATTTATTGCAAGTGGGGATTGGCTCAATCATTTCAAAATGCCGGCAGCCTCACACGTCCTATTAAAGGGAAAGTGCACGCTGTCCTTAAGCCTGACATTCGTGACCCCGGGACATCACCGGACACTGCTCTCATAGCATCCTCTTGACTCCAGGCATTTAAAAAACAACAGACCACTATAACATTTTTACTAAAATTAAATATAAATTTAAGTTATGAACTCCTCCATTATGATCCTCTTTTGGATAATCATTTAGAACTTTCTGATATATCCCAACCCTTCCAAAGGTACTGAATTTGAGACTTGTAACAGAACATTTTAACCTATGGAATGCTTTACAGGACTGGTTTGATGTTTTTTGAGTGTCACGTCATGAGAGACATGCAGTGGCTGGGGCTTTAGTTCCTGACCATTCACCCGTAGCCGGGTCTAACTAGGGCCATTTGTTCTGAACCTGGTCTACATGGAATCTTCAGCTTTTTGCCACCTCCACTTAACCCCATATTTTGGAATAACTTGGAGCTTATGCTTATTCCCCTAACATTATAGATTTTGCTTATCTCCTGAACCCTACAATGCATTGCACATACTTTAAACTCAAAGTTCCCACTTCTTCTATAGGCAACTAATTTCTTCTTATGTGGCCGTCTTTGTTGCTTTTAAACTTTTTGTGTTACTACAAGTGCTTTAATTGTTAACTTTTCAATAAAATACTATTGAGACAACACACTTGTATTTTTCCATTTATTTTTTACCTCTATGTGCACACATGTGTTAGATTCGATGATCAAGCAGGGTTTGGGTGGAGGGTCACCTCAGTTTTTCCCCCAATACCAATCCATATAGAATATGTGCAAATTAAGGTTGAAAATAATATTTTAGCTGTCACATTATCTTTTCTATTTCCCCTTACTCATTAGTCTCATTATATAATTTATTCTGTGGTTATGTGGATATACACCATCTTTGATCTGGATCTTTTCAAAGTATATTGCTACAAGCACGCACTGACTAAGGATTGTCACCAATCACCCCATCCACTGCCTAAAAGTCTCTTCTGACTCCTAGTGACCTCAGAGAACCACCACGTCCTTCTCCCAGGTGGCTGATAGACTCTAGATGTTAACTGTCTTTAAGTTAGCAGTTGGCCATTTTTACCCCATTTGCCTAAGGATTGCTGCAAACATATAGTACAATAAAGTTTTAAACAAATGTTTTGAATAACAGACCAAAGTAATTGAACCAAAACAGAAGCTAACCTGGTAAAGATAATCCCGTCGAATGCATTGATGCCACATCCCAGAAAGAACAACTAAAATGTGTCAGTTTGTGACGATCGTAATGCTATCATTTTTTGTCCCTTGATTACCATTACCACTTTGTATACACACACACACATATGCCTTATACGTGCACTTCCTCCTCTTCCATCATTACCACTGTTGTTGAGACCATAATTGGTTCTTCCATGATGTGTTGTAATGGCATTCTCCCTGTTCAGTCAGCATTTATCTGCAGATATCTAATAAGCTCCTGCAATGCTTGGAACTGGATGTAACATGATAACTCCTACTCTTACTACTATTTTTGTACTACTGTGCCACTTATCAAGACCAAGACCATTGCCACTACCATCATCGCTAAGATAATGGAGCACCTACTATTTCTTAAGTAGTAGGTGACTCAACCAAAATTGGTCCATTTAATATACAAACACCCCATTTCTATGTTCTGTAACCTCCAAACAGCACTGGAATGAATAATTGTTAAGGTCATGTGGGAGGACGACGAATTCAGCCACACACCCAAGATCACTTGATATTTACTTGAATTTATTATAATTTATATTTCAATAATGATAATGCAAGAAAGTTCTCGCAGTGGAGATAGTATATTTAACCTCAGCAAGATCATGGAAGGACTTTTCTACGGAGGTAGGCGGTTTGGTTGTCTTGTCTAATGAGCTGCAGGCCCCATAGAGACTAGAGGATAAAGGCGGTGATTTGAGGAAATTAGAAGTTACCGGGAGGGACTAGTTCCAGGAGAAGAGCATCCTGCTTACTAGACATTCAGCAAGAAGAGGAAGCCCCTCCATCACATGGATTGATGCAGCGAGTGCCATAGTGCTGGAACCATGGTGGAGATAGCTGAGGGCCAAGCGATGCCTCCTTTTGTCATACACAGAGTTACCGGGACTCAGAACTGACTCAACATCGTCTAACAATAACACCTCCACCAATAGGAGTTATTTGTTATGATAGGAGCGAGTGCTATAGGTGAAGGAAAAGAATTAGGGACAGAACCTGTGGCTGGACTCTGAGCTTTATAGTTATAGCAGTTTGACATTTTAGAATTTTTTGACAATAATTTCAGTCTTAAAAATTCTTGGAAAAAATAAAAACAGGACCATATTTAGCCAAGATTAATCTATTGTTAAAAATGTATTCCTATTGTATTCAATATTGCCATCTACCTATCTAAACACACATGCAAACATGCAGAAAATGAACTCTTTGACCAAAAATGAGCATAATGTTAGTGACTAATTTGAGAAACATAGCTCAGCATTTAAAAGAAGCCTAATTGCTGAAACTATTAAAAATTTTAAGAGAAACACGTTCCATTTTTGCACTGTGGAAATTTAATAGAGTTGTCACAAGTTTACACTAATTTAAACAGGTTATGAGCTAGAATGCAAATTATAATTAATCAGGCAATATAGCTTCTATGAGCCTGATGCTTTCATTGGTAAATAAAGGGTCTTTGGAAAACCAAAAGATGTGTGACACTCTCCGTGGTGCTGAAATAGAATGGCATTCTCGGTGGTTACCTTTCTCCTTTCTAATGCTCGGAACTTTAAAAAAGCTCAAGCACTAGTAAAGAATGCATGCAAGACGTGTGTTTGGGGAAGAAACTGTAGGAAAATTGTGCTCAGATTTGACAGAGATCCCCCTTCTCCCCCTTTGGAACATCTTTATCCTTGTATATAAACAAGCTAAACTGTCTGAAGCTGTTATATATCATAACGGCAGACAACACAGGGATTATGTCTGTAGAGGAAATCGAAGTAGCCTTTTCTATACTGAGAATTTAATAGCAGGCAAGAAGCAGCAGCGTTCCTGGGTAGGGAGACCAGGAGCTCAGCCACACTGAAAAATGAAGAGGAATAAAGAGTGATCCATTTATAGATTTTTGATTTTAGGGCTCTGCCAAGGTAAGTAGAATATTTTAACTGTACCCCTGTCAAACTTTCCTCTTAAACAGCATTCCTCCTGGAAACTTTTAAAAACATCTACAATTCATTGATCTTAACAGCTGCAGGTACTTGAACCTCAGCTTCTATGGTGTCCACAGCCTCTTAAACAATGAAAGTGGAAATTATCAGAGAAACAAACCATGACTGAATGCAGTTAAGTGCTCAGTAATTACACACCAGTGCTGCCGTTTGGCTGCTGGTGCCGGCCCCCCTACAGGCACAGGTGCCATAAATGCTCACACACACCCAATCAAACCCACAAAGACCTTTCATTAAGTATCATTTTGAGAAAACCTTAGCTTGAAAAGCACTGGCTCAACTTTATTTCTCTCCTTTCTTTCTCCAATCATTCTTTTTCCCTTTGTTCTTAGGTTTTATATGTATATGTGTGTATATATATATATTCGTTTTCCTAATGAACACTGCTGCACTCATTTCTGAGAGGGTGTTGGAATCATCAGTGAGGGTGAAGGAAATGTGACAGGTGGAATAAAGTCTCTTCTCCTCTTGAGTGGCCCCCCAAGGGTCCATGATCATTTGGTAATCATTGTCCCGACTTCTTGACTTCTTCTCTGGCGCATAATGCTGGGCGGAAGGGCTCCAGAAAGAGAGTTTAAGGACTCACAGCTGTTGGGATCAATGCTCTGATGGGGGTGGGGTGAGGGGTGGGGGGAAGGGAGTGTCTCAGCAAGTCAAAATTTGTGCATACTTCTTGTTACTCAAAGATCATTTAAAAATCTTTAAGACTTTTATTATCTTACGGATTTGTGTCAACAAAGAAAACTATTGACTGTTGACCAACATGAAAAGAAGAATCATGTGGTGGCAGCAAAGGTCCGCTTTTTTGCTTTGAAAATATTCATCTGGTTAATTGTGTCTTGAAGGTGTTCTCTAGAACAAATACACACAGGCTCTCTCTCTCTCTCTCT